AATAGTGATTGTGTTTATGCTTGAAATTTAAGCAGACATTTAACTAATGTAGCTCTAGCTATAACATGTTACCATTACCATTATGATTCAGGTAGAACTTACCCATAAGAAATGTGCAGCTGGAGAATGGCGAATATCAGAATTGGAGGGGGAGTTAAAACTTTCTAGTGAAGAGGTAGCATCGCTCAAAATACTACATCAAATCACTTGAGGAGAAAGTAGTCAATGTTACAAACCTGAAATATCAGTTGGAACTTGTTGAACACTGCTATACCCAGGCTCAACAAAAGATTAAGGTACATTTGTAACTGTACTTCAACATAATCATCATACATTGACCTTTGTTCCTCTCATTCCTCTCATAAGCACTCCACTTGTATTGTTGTGTCTTTTGTTTATCTTCTGTTGCGTATAATATAATATATCATCAAACTTGGATCAACATATGGACATAATGCAGAACAACTTTTTACCACAATTTTACCCAGTGGTTTGTGCAAGGTGGTGCCACACAACGCATTGCTATTATGTTGTTGGATTTTCTGCAAACTGTTCTCAGCCATTGGAGGACTGTGAATGATGAACAGAGACGCGTGTGAAAGGAAGCAGTTATCACCTATTTCAAGATCCTACCCAAGAATTTGCCTAGCGAGACTGAGGAAACACTCAAAATCTCTATAAAGGAAGCTGGAACAATGGATCTGTAAAATATGAAAGAGGACTACTAACCAAAAAACTGCAAAATTTAGTCCATGCTCAGAATTAGGACACAAGGGATTAATATGAGCTTGCAGAATTAATGGTAAATAACTGTGTAGATGAACTGGAATATGAATGGATTCTTCCTTGGGAGCATTCTGCAGCGAGTGAAGGATCACATATTTTGTATAAAGTGAAGCTTTCGTGGCAACCAAAGTTGATGAAAGACTCTCAGAAATCCAGCTGCGTCTGGTGGCTGAATGGTTCATTCACCATTCAGCCACCTGACACGGCTTGTTTCCCAAGAGTCTTTCATCGATTCCATGTTTCTTACACAATGTGATCTCCAGATCAGTATTCATTCTTTTTACCACACTAATGTGCCAGCTGAAGAAACAGAATACTACTAAATACAATGCTAGTCTGATTTTCTTAATCTCTTCCATATATTAACACCAAAATATACTTCAATATCTCAAGGAAAACCAAATTATGATAACAATGAAGTGTTAACTGTGGGCATATACAAGGTCTTAAAAAAGACACAGTAATTTATAAATGCCTATATTTACTGGTGAAATGCACTGTTATTAATAAATTTAGTGTCAGAGAACACATAACAGTTGAAAGTTTCAGATCTAAGTAAAAAAACATATCAGTACTTCAGCAGAGAAATTCAAACTTTCTTCTTGTAATTTCGTAACTACCTTATTCTTGTTCTGGATCATTATCCAAGGTATGAATGCTGGAATGCAGCATGCAAATAGTGGATATTTTTAAGAATGAAAACCACTTTTTAATAAAACTAGGAAACTAAACATCTCAGATATCGATTAAAGATGAAAGTATCATGAATATGTTTGCTCATGAAATGAAGAACTACATTTAAAATTTGCTGCTTGACTGAGGCATATTTACGGAGACTGCAGCAGGACTATGCCTAGCTGAGATAGTCCTGGTTGTGGAATACCTGCATCACGTAGGCAGACTTCACTTCACTTGTCTGCATTAAACTACTTAAGTGGCTGTGTGGATGTAACATTTATTTATTCCATCCATTATTTTATTTTTCCTCTGTACAAATCACGTCACTTTCATTTTCTGTGGGAAACAACAGTAACACTACATTTGGCACCTTGGTTAAAGTGATATTTAGCAGAAATGTAAAATAGTAATACTACATCTTACTACCACATTAAAAATAACATGTCCCATCTTTTATCACACTGTGCAAGTAATTTGTTAATTTGTTCCTTTCAGATCAGTGTCATGCACGTTATTTAAAACCAGAAATCATTCAGATCAATGCACGTGGCCACACCGCAGTCTCTGATTATGGGCTGTGCAAAATCTTCAATCGCCACACAAAGGTAAATTTAATATTCACCTTATCTTTTGTTGTTTTTACCTACAGGGTTACATAGGCTACATATGTAAAGGCTACATTTACCACTGTCTGTCTGGCAGTACTCTTTATTCAAGAGAGAAGTGGTTACAGGAGCCCAAAATCATTATGTACCGATTCTTAATGGAAAGAATTCAAATAAAATGTCACAAATTATTTCAATTTGAGGGGATGAACTCAGAACTGTAATACCTATAGCTCTATTAGAATTTCATAAATAGTTGCTCTTATGCAATTCATACACCATTAACATGCTGTCTACTATACCAGATATGAAATATATTAGATACATAAACATGGGTCTTACTTTGAGGAAACTACATAAGTGAACAAGTGGTTTAAAGAAAGGACAATACTGAATACTTAGGGGGATAAAACAAGGGGCTAGTCTAGGTATAAAAAATTAAAATATTTTTGTTGAAACGGGCTAGTTTAGATTTTTATCAATAATTGAAAATATGTGGTACATACAACTCACCAAGTATTGTTATCATTGGGAAATTATGGAGTTTACTTACAGTGGGCTGGACATATAAGGAGAGAAAAATGCTACATAATATAGGTGGGAAAAACTCCTGCACGTTACTAACTTAGAAAACTGGGAAGCAGATTGGAATACAGCATTAAGATGGATCTTAGAGAAATAGGTTATGAGAGCAAGAGATAATGCAGTTGACTAATTTACATGACCAGTGGTGATCTTCAGTACAAGGTATGCTCAGTGCTTTGTTCCAGTTACCAGGCAGTTACTATCTAGTAGCTTCCTGTCTCATTTTTCTGTTACGCTTATTTAAAATGCTTTTTCCATCAACAGGACAGCCCCAGTAAAAATCAGCCATTGGTGGCCTTAGCATCCAATAAGCATTCTCCAGGTATAAGAATCAACAATGAGATGGTAACAGATGCAAAGCAATTAGCTTGGTGCACAGGGGAGGAATGGTGAAACAAGGTTCGGTAGCGATAGTGTTAACTCAGGAAATATTTTTATAATTGTAATACTGATAACTTCATAAGTTTTATTTAAAATTATTTTTAAAATTATGTTTTAATTCTAAACTCCATCACAGTGGCAAAGAGAATCCCAACAAGATCAGCTGTGTTTGAACACTATACAAGCATTACAAATGGAAAACATTGTGTCACCAACAAGATCAGCTGTGTTTGAACACTTTGCAAGCATTACAGATGGAAAACATTGTGTCAGTGTACGATACAAGAAGCTGATGAGGAATAATACTGCAATGCCAAAATTAGTGCATATTCTGGCACTGATAAAAACGTACCTACCAGAGCATCAAATTTAAAAAGACACTTTCAGCGACATCATCCCAAAATTCTAAATACTGTCAATGAGAAAGATGACAGAAATAAGAAAACCATCCCAAGTACTTCAAAGCTAACAAAAGATCAGAAAAATACTCAGGCAGCAGTTACAAGATACTTTGCTAGTGACAAAGTTACTATAACTATGACAGCAGATAGGTTCAAGAAGCACATCATTGGACTGGTGTCAAGGAATGGTTTACCTCTATCATTATTCTATCATCCAGACTTTGTTGGTCTGAATGGAGAAATGGCACAGAAACTTGGCATTTCTCTGCAAAGAGGCAGCATTAGAAAAATATGGTTGAAGAAGCAACATTGAAAAAGAAGAACTTCAAAGAACCCTCAAGGGACGCTTTGTGTTTCTCAAAATGGATGCCTGCACGTGCTATAGAGTAAACTATTTTGCTATTAATGTGCGATTTGTTGATGAAAACAATAAAATTGTGACTCCAACATTAGCAATAAAGGACACAGAAGCTCATCACACCAGTGAATATCCTGTGACGCAGGTTAAATGGTTTGACATGCCTTCTTTCTTAAAATTGGAGTAGGTTCTTCTGCAGTACCAGGTATCAGATTTGAAAAGTAAGGTTTCAGGTTCTCATGTCTGCAAGTATGAAGATATTTTGCGATATTGGGCATCACCCTGTTGATTGTGGCAGAATGTGTGGCACAGTACCCCAGTACACAGTCATTCACTTTTGCAACTTTACCCATTGCTGTGTTTTACATGGGGGGTGGGAGGTGGAGGTTTAATTTTAGAGTAAGAAGGTAGTTAATATTGTTACCGGCTGTGCTCTTGGCAATGGTTGATAACATGGGTTAGTACCTACTGCTACCGCCATATCGTTTCGTAGTTTCACAATAGGGGAAATGTGGTATTACAGTGCGAATTGCATGGAGCACTGAGCGTAAAGTTGGTATTACTCTATACTCTGTGACCGGATTTTGTAATCTTGTTTATTGCTATTGGATAATCTCAAGTCCATACTATCCAAGATGGCAATAGGAAGTGTGTGATTGTTGGTGAAAGAACAAGTTACATTCAAATAGAAATCTGTTTTTATAGCTTTAAAGGATTTTGTATAGCGCAACCTGTGGTGTAAAGTAATATCATAAAATGGGGAAGGGCTTTAATAATTATATGTGCAAGAAATTTTTTCATCCAGCGTCCAGAGACAATCTGAAAAGGGTAATGGTTAAAAATGTTACTTTTGTGTTCGGTTATCTTGTCAGAGTTGAACATTCAGCTTCATAGGAATAAGTCGAAGTACCTTTTTTTATCATCTTATTCAAATTATACTATACTATTGTCTACTCTTTGTTTGTAGGTCTGGATGGCAGAGCAAAAGGCAGAGTCGTATAAAAAGAAGCAAGAAGAATTGCGAGTTCAATATGAAAAGGAACAAGATTTGTATACAAATAAGTATGTTCTTGATGCACTTTCGACACTCTGAAAGTTGTAGATTGTAATTGCATGGTCTGTGGTAAATGTAGGGGTTATGTCTGAATTCATAGGACATGTGTTGAACATGACACCAAGTTACCAAAGGGGATGTTTTCACTAACGAAGAAAATGAGAAGTTTAATTGAGTCAAAATTAAGAGACGTTATAATTTTTTCCCTATTATTTCCTAATGAGATTGTATTTGATAGCCAGGGAACACAAGCCTTTATGTAATATACAAAGGCATTGTGTGATGCTTCATCATTATTCTTAAGTTTGGCACATGTGAAGTAATTGTCAGATTATGGTTGCATGAAAACAGTTTATAAGGTTATGATTTAGTTTATAGGTACAACATGAACAGGTAAGTTCAAGGCTGCTTGCAAGTTGGCGTGCAGTGAGTGTTGAGCATTGTGTAGTGAGCGGTTAGTGATGTGTGATGTCAGTTTAATAGTGAATATTGTTCTAGAAATGGCATTGGCTGCAGCATTTTTTCAGGTTCTTGTATCTACTACTGGTATAAGTGGTTCCATCTCATGCTCCTGATTGGTTTTCTGTACATATCTGTTATGCATTCAGTTTAGTTTGTAAAAGAACAGTATCAAACTAACTGGTAATGGTAACAGCTATGATGCTTCTCCATGTTATGTTTGAAATTTTGTTCATGGTTGATGTACATTTGCAACAAGTGGTCTTGCTTACCCTTCAGAAAACATTATTTCTTGATATGAGCTAGAAAGTTTTACTTTCTGTATGGACATGTTTTGTCTGGCTTGACACATCCAGTATGGAGACTGAAATGGTAAACAATATAGTGCTGTCACTCACAATTCAAGGTGACTCAAAAAGACAACATAACCCAATGCTTTCTCACATCTCTACTGCTCAGCACTCAAGGTCAGTATACACACTTCTAAAATTTCTTGATTGAATTATTTGTGACAACACTCACCACATGCCAGTGTACATGCAAGCTAAAGTGTTTTGATGCAATAAGCTGAACTATTAGTTTGGACTTTGTCCATTTTCTTGGATATTTGTTAAAAAAGTAATGAAGATGATGGACAGTGTCCAAAATAACAGTCTAGGTTATTGCAACATGAATTTGGGGCTTGTGCCATATGCTCATTACACATTGCATTAGGTAAATTGAATGGTTTGTGGTAGGGCTAATAACTTAAGTATAAACATAGAGCCTCCTTTCAGCTGCAGGTTTATATGGTCACCAATCAGTAAGGCTATTCCAAAACCATTTCGTCTACCTAATACATTTTATCATTGCATAGGGAAGCTATCGCTTAATTTATGTTTAAAAATTAATAAGATTTTGATACAAAGTAACAAACATGATTCACATCAGGAAGAAGTAAACATGTCGCAGTTGCAGAGACTAATCAGTGTGATTCTTTTCTAGGGCAATACTGAGTAAGGAAAGCAAGGATAAGCTGAGTGTAAATTTCATGTATGAGCCGCCACCTGGTACGAAGAAAGAACGAGAAAGAGAAGATGATGAACCCGAATATAAATTTGAATGGCAGCGAAAATTTAATGCACCAAGAGAGGAGTATGTGTATTTTTTAATCTTATTCCTAACATAGGAGTTAAGAGATTTAGCAGTTCACTGGACCTGAATTAATCTTACTGGTTCTTCGTAGGTATCTGTGTGCATGCACGTCTCTTTCTTAACAACTATTGTATGTATCACCTGGAGGGTATGCAAAATTGTGAACATACTGTATGCATCAATGATTTGTAGCTGGTAAACTGTGGTGGAGAACGTAATTCATGCAATTGAAATTTCATGGGGTGTAGTGACTAGACTTTAAATTTCCTGTATGGTCAGAGATATTTCTCTTTGCTATCACATCCAGGCTGATAATGGGGCCCACTCATCTTTCTATACATTGGGTACCTTGCAGCATTTTTCAGGGGTGTAATGTGGAGAGAAGCTGCTTACTCACCTTCATCAATTTACCAAGGTTAACGCATGGATATTTACCTCCACTCCCAGATTCAGTTACGTGGTGTGTTGTATAACATGTTTGGTAGGGCACAAGCAGTAAGATGCTGAAGAGGGAGGGTAACAATGCTGTCTGCTAGTGGTAGTGGTGCACATAGGGGAAGGGCTTTCTCTTTAATGCTAAGCACAAAAACATAAGTACAGATTGAAGAACCTTTAGTGACAGCTGAACATTTTACCAAAACCTGCTATTCTATTTAATTCCCCATACTTTTCTGCAACTTTGTACTTGCTGCTGCTACAGTTGTTGTTATCACTGCTATTTTGTAAATCAAGTATAATTTATTCTGAAATGTCAGTAATAGGCTCCAGTCACATGTAATTCTGTTAGTAATGAAGGCGTTGTTGCACCTCAAGCTCTGATCTTACTTTGTGATGATATTGAACTGTTCCTCAGCTAGTTTCATAGCATCATCATCTAGATGGAAACTGACATTCTTTCTGGCTAAGTATTATTTAACCGATGCTCATATCAGTTCAGTTGGATTAAGATCAGGGTGATATGGCAGCAAGCAAAGGACAGAGTAACCATGTTTGGCAAGCAGAGTGGCAGTTTTGAATATCTTGAATTGTAGTTTATGTAATTTAATTAAAGAATAGAATTCAGGCTCACACATTCGATCACGCGATCTGAAAGCCAGTTGATCGTAGCACTTTTTTGAGATGAAGGAGTTGGAGCCAGATTCAGTTTACATTATGATAAGCTGCACTGTCCACTACTAATATCGAATTTGGCAAAATGTTTGGAATTTACTTCATTTTAAGCCATGTTTCCTAGATATTAAAATTTATTTCCTGATGATTATTTACAAATTTTGTCCCTGATTTAAACATTAACAAAGCTTTGGAATGAAGCCATTTTTACTGCCAGCTTGTGTGATGATAACTTGCTGTCCTTTGTAGATAGATGCAAGTAGACCTGTATTCTTAACCTTCACTCCAGGCATATATTTTATGTGTCAGGAGTGTGGACATTTTCTTCGTGCAGATGATAGGGTGCCCCTCAGTTCTCCAAAAACTTATGTTTCTCAAATGTGCTAATCTTGTTGCAAGAATACCATCCATTTTGATTGCAACTTCTCTTTTCTGATATTTTTCAACCTGAAGCCTAAATCTTTAATTATTTTGCAGAGCCCAATTCTAACCACTGAAATTAACCTTCTTGATGAGTGCTGTTAATGATTATAAACAGGACACTTACCTCTTATATCGTGATGTTTGTTAATTGTTCCTTGAATTACAGACTAGTAAAAATTATCTTTTCGGTGTTAGTTTTAGTTTTAGTTTTCCTTGGCCGTTTTTTGCGAGGTCTGTTGAATCCCTCCCCTCTTATCTGTTGTGATCATATTATTTTAAAGTGAACTTTAGACTACTAAAATACACCAGTAGCTTCAGAAATTTTGTTTAGTATTTAACGTTAATCACCTTGCTGCTGTCAACTGTATGAACACTAATCACCATTTCCCTACTCAAGCTGTGTATTACTTTATGTTCCCTATTTCCTTTGCACTTCTGCCCTCATCTTTCATTATGTTTGTGCTGAACAGAAACATCAGAGAAAATCATAAGCCAGATTATAAATGGGCCAGTCAACACATGATGTTGACTCAGTCTCAGCACTTAGGATACTAAGCTCCACTTACCTCCCACCTTCTGTTCCAACACAAAAGCTAATCATGTCCACCAAACAAACTGCATTATTTGCAGAAGTTATGGACTTTAAGGTATGGGAGAGGTAAGAAGTGTAAGACTAACATGTTTGCAGCCCAAAATAAGTATGTAATTCCCTTAACTGTAGATCATAGATCAAAGAGCTGGGTTGCCCATGCTCTGAAGCAGAACTCTGACGTGTTCTTCTTCATTTAGAAAATTAACCTGTGGAGAGATGTATTTGGTAGTATGCTAAATGTAAATATTTTCCATTTTTCAGTTACTGCAAAGGTGATTCAGAAATCAGGGATCAACCATTTGGCATCCAGGTTCGCAATGTGCGGTGCATCAAGTGTCACAAATGGGGTCACATTAATACAGGTAAGGAGGCAGGCTTAGTGTTTAGGCACTCTGTGATGTCGGAGAATGTGTTTCTTATGAGAAATTAGCTGATGTTAGGCTTTGATGGAGATTTCATGTTATTGTTGATTTTGCTCTTGGGTGTTGACACCAAGCAGGACCTTCAGTCACTTCATTCATACCCTCGGCTCACTGGTGGTCAGCTTTGATGTGGTACTGTATTGCTCCTCGGCCAGGTTTCTCTTGAGGAAATATTGGACCAACACTTTCGCAAAGATGGTTCTGTGAGCAGGAGGATGGAGTGGGCATGGGGTCTTCAACTATCCCACATCATAGCCAACAACTGTATAACACATTCTGAGGCACAGGTGGTGTTTCTTAAGGTTTGTGGGCAATACCTTTGTTGTCTGACAACATGATCCTGTGAAGTTCCACAATTTTCTCTTCCATCTAAACAGCATTCCTCCAAAGATTCAGTTCACTATAAAGTGGGAACAGTGAGGTCACCTGCCATTCCTGGCTGGACAGTGACATTTACAGAGTCATAGTCGGTTCTTGGGTACAAACTACAAGAAGTACTTGAATGGATGTTGTATTGCATCACCATCTGGCCCAGAATTTTGGCATTCTCTGAACCATTATACTTTGGGCAAGCAACATAAACGTACATACTGAATTGGTTTGCCGCAGAACTTCCAAGGAGAGCAGATCCACAGAATGTTCTGCTCCAGGGACTGGCTCAGTGAAACAGCATTCAAACAAACCCATCAGCACAGCTTTTTATCATTTGTGCAGAATCTGTCCATCGATGATGGCAAAATACTGGTTTGATACTACATCCATCTTATCATGACAGCCTTGGTATGGGGCTTTGTTCATAGGTGAGATTGGTCACATAATAGAAGAATGATAAAGGAACAGCAGAGAGACCTCTGGCTCTGCTATGCTTTGTTGGCAGGACACTTGGTCAACCAGGGCCACCAGATACAGTTTGATGACACGGTGGCACAAAGCTACTGTATAAGCCAAGCGTCTTCAATCCAAACACTTGAGGAACACAGGATGCCACTGAGGGCCAGTAACAGCTGCACCAACTATATAGTTTGCGCCATGCATCTATCCTCACTAACATTTGACCACATGGGGTGTGACCACCATACCACTATGGGGTCCTCTATAATGGCTGCTATTTTGGTGTTCTTTATGCTCTGACATGAGGAAAGAACAATAAGGGCCTTTCCTTACCTGACTCTCTGTCTGTGACATCTTTGAGTAATGGACTGGAGGATTTCAGAATTCTGATGTATTGGATATGGCAGTGATTTTCAGACTGATCTTTCTGGACCTTGCCATAATGATTGTAATATAAGCCAGTCATTGTGTCGGATAGTTTTGCGATTAGTGTGTTACCTGTGTAAGATCTGAAGTTCACATTGCAACTTATCGCAGTGAAGTATTGCTCATGGCAATGGAGTTGTTACCACAGCTAACATGGCTTGTCATGTGAGAAGACATCATTGAAAGATGGTGTCTGGAGTTGATTTATAAGTTTCTACATTTCACCGATAGTGAGAGTATTCATACCATGGCCTTCCAAAACTTTGAGGATTGTCTGCCAGGCCAAGGCATATCTGTAAGTCTGTGGAAGAGCCATCTATGAAACAGTTTCTTCCACATTGAAATTTATAATGCAGACATTTGAATACTGAGACAGTTACAGAGTCGCCTGTCATACCAGTAGATATGAGTGAGAAAAATTATGGCAGTTTTTGTGAAATCCTGGAAGGAACAATGCAAGGCATGTCATCTCAGCCCTTTAGTCTGGTAGAATAGAATACAGGAATTGAATTATACCGGCTTGTTTGGTCATTGTAGGAATGCTGTTGAGTACAAAGTTTGATCTGAAAATATTGCTGTGCACTGTATTTGTGAGGGACACAATGAAGTGATGTGAAAAGTGTGCTGTTGGACTGTGTTTGAACTGTTTTGTTGACACCGTAAGCCTAGCTCCTTTCTTTAAGAAAATAAAGTAGGTTAGAGAGGTATATTGCAGAAAGTAATATTGAAGATTGTGTTTGTATTTTTGGTACAAGTGAGATTGTTTTTGTTTGCAGATAAGGAATGCCCGATGTATAATCAGGCATCAAGTTCAGACCAGGCAGGTCCTTCATTGGATCCATTGATTCTTGTCCAACAGATGAGAGAGGATGGTCTTGCTATGAAGAGGAGTGCTCTTAGTATTCCACAGCAGACGAGATTCTCTAGAAATCAGGTAAGATATGTAATTAAAATGTTTTGTTTATAGCTTGTGCCAAGTTTTGTAAGTGTTTAGCACATTTGGAATTAGGGTACAGCAAGAAACCCAAGCTCAGCAGATTCAGAAACTTACCATCTCAGTGCAATGAAATACAGTGGATGAATGTAAGCTGAGATGATTGTGACAGACACTCATTCTGGTATGAAAGCGTCAGTTCATGTGTAATAAATAATCCTGATGCATCAAGGTTATGATTGTGTTGACATAACTTTTTATTATGGTCTAAGACTAAAATAAACATGTAACAAGTGCATGTACTGTTTTTTTGCAGGACCTTATTCCAAGTGAAGATGAAGATGAGGAATCAAAAAAGTCTGAAATAGAAGTCTTGAAGTCTTTATCAGTGAAGCAGAAACAAAGGCTGCTTAGGTAAAGTATATCATGGCTTGTATAGTTTTCCTTTGGAGTTGCATGAATGTGCTAGCGGAGTTGTTACCACAGCTAACATGGCTTATCATGTGAGAAGACATCATTGAATGGGACACCTCATTTTATGTAGATCGGTTGTTAGATCATGAACATTTATGATAGAGGAGAAACTATGTATTATACTGGGTTATCAGTGATATGTTATGGCAATGTTTTTACAAGATGGTGTCTGGCGTTGATTCATAAGTTTCTACATTTCATCCATGGAGGCTGTACTAATGTGCAATTAGTGAAATGTTCCTTTAGCCCTGTTTCCGTGACACGTACCAAGACTCATAAGTGTCTTATTGCATTCATACTTTCTTGTGCAAATTCATAGAATTTTGGCTGTCGGTATTTTCTTGTCATTAGGGCATTGAAGACTTTCTGACTGCCTGCCATTTTGTTGTGCCACCCACTGGGATAGCTCAGGCAGTTTTTGTGAAATCCTGGAAGGAACAATGCAAGGCATGTCATCTCAGCCCTTGGGGACAAAGGATTTTTCCACTAGCCTCTGTGTTCAGACTCTCTTGAGACCACCCAGCGTCCTTTCCTGGGGATGAAGTGCGACTGGGGCCTGGTGCTTAACACTGACCTCCATCGAGTGCCGATGTCATTTTAATAGTTATCGTTTACCCAGCATTTATTACATAACTAGAAGTTGTATGTATTCTTACATGGCATGTAGCGGGACTGCTTTTTACCTACAGCATTGCAAGGACTTTTGTCATGATTGACAGCAAAGAATTACCACTCGGTAGCAATTCCAACATTGTTATGTTTTACAAAATTAGTAACATTTTTATTTTTCTTATACAGTGATGCAGCTGCATCTTTCAAGTAGAATATCTTTCTCATTTTGTTATCCAGTGTCTTGACACACTGAATCTTCTGTAAAGCATAAGATGTGCATGTTGTGTTCAAAGTCCTGACTTTGACACAGGTATTTGCTCATCACTCACAATTCAACATCTTCATAATGTCAAATTGGGCCATGCACTGTTAATGTAGGTACAAAAAAATGAGCACAGCAAGTGTAATCGACCATGGGAAAGAAATTTCCATCCGTAGTTCAGTCATCTGAAACTTTCCTGGTATGATACAGAAATTGTTCTTTTAAATATACATGTCTGAGACATGGGTTGGAAAAAATAAGCTGAAATGTATGCAGTATATAAAGAAGACAGCGACTTCTACCTCTTCACATTTTAATAGTTATTGTTTACCCAGCGTTTATTACATAACTAGAAGTTGTATGTATTCTTAATACAGATTTACAAAGTGTACTTATTAATATATTTAAAAAAATTGAGAAATCAGTTATGTAATTACGCAGTTAAGTGTGTTCTTTTACGCATTACATATAAACCAAATTTCATAGACATATGCTCATTAGTCTTGGTGATACAAGAAATCAAGTGAGAAACAGCCTGTGTCCTCAAATTAACTGTTACTAAGCACAGTATTTTGCTATTTTACTTGGGTCGTAACAGCCTCTAATCAGACCAAGTTTAATTAAATTAGAAAAAACATTTGTTGAGTTGGCACGGACTGTCTCTTTGGTTGCAGTGTGTACAATGTTGTAAGTGGTATTGTTTACTTTCCACTTTGTTCCAATGTCTTGCCACAATTTTTATACGGTATTAAAAGAAATTATATATATTATATCATACTTTCTGTAAATGTATATTCAATTTTCTTGTCTCTGTTTATTAGGAAACTTGACAAACTCTTGAAGAAGAACAAGAGGAGAAAATCCAAGAAGAGGAAAATGAAGAAGTCTAAACAGACATTGAAGGATGGTGAGAGTGGTGACTCCAGTTCAAGTAGTGAAACATCTAAGGAAGAAATTAAATCACATAAGGAGAAAAGGAGAGTGAAGAAAGACAAAAATAAACAAAGAGAAAGGCATTACAAAAACATAGTAATCAAAAAGGAATAATCAACATTGAGCAGTGCATCAGTCACATAATAAGACTCTGGATAAAGTTCATGGTCGAAGCATTGATTTTGCTGGTCACCTGAGTATGCACGAATGGCATCAAGCAACTTGTAAGAGAACGTCTAATGGGGATTATAGGAAGACTGTCAGACTGAAGGTAAGACAGGATAGATTTGTAAATGAAGATATGCACAGCAGTGAACTCTCAGAGACATAAAAAGGACAGGTGAGGAAAGTGATTTTTCAGGTGGAAAGAAACACAGACAATACAATTTACGTTGCTCTTCATTGTGTATGATAGAAATTACATATTCTTGTTGTATCTTGTAAAAATGTAATAAAGGAGTATATGGATGTTAAAATTGGTGTTCAGTTTCTTAGAAAGGAAATTCCAGACAAAGAGAACAAAAAATATATTTTCCAGCCCAGTCAAACTAGAGCCCCCGCCACGTTGGCCTTAACCGGGGCAGGGTCCTGGCCCTCGCCTTAGCTGAGCCAACCCAAGCTCAGGAGAGCGTGAGGTCAGGTCGGCCTGAGCGCAGATCATGCCAGCCCTAGTCCAGGCCCGACTTTGCCTGCATTGGGCATGGTATGTACTTCCATTCTTGTAAGAAACACCATGCTGTCTGTCCACCATGACATCAACACACCTACCCATTCAAAATTTTACATAAGTACGTAGAAGACTGAATATAAACCGACCTCAACTTAATCTCCAATTTTCTTACATTAAACTTTCATTTACGTCTCCAAATCTACCACTAACATAGAACACAGGCTATGAATTCCATGCACTATGCAGCCATCCTGGGGTCTCTGGTTCGATTCCCGGCGGTGCCCGAATTTATAACTTGTGTTGGGCAAGGCGTGGTCTAGGCAACACGGAGTTTTCCGCTGTGGCATCCCAACAATTACTCCATTCACACACAGAAGAAGGCAATGGCAAACCACTTCTGGATCATCTGCCAAGAACGTATATGAACAGGTCCCAGTCCGAGAAAAGGATGGAAGGATCCTGTTCATATGGACCTGTCATCAGACAGAACACTAAATAAATAAAAAAAAATACACAGATTAATAATGAATGTGTTGCAGCTTCAGTACAACATTTCAACTACGGATGTAACCTCATCTTCGTATCGCCAAAGGGGAAGACTGGATGGGTGGGGAGACCAGCTGATGTCCCTGAAGCAAGAAATACCTTAGTACAGAACTTACATGCTCATTTGTACAAATGTTCTATGAATGGTTGGCAGTGTAAAATTAATTGTGTGTGCCCGGTATTTATGTGAAGGGCCAGTGAATGTCAACACACCACACACATCCCTTACTCGCAAGCAGAATGTGGATGTGGTGACAAACTCAGCAACCAAGAGTTTTCTACCTGCCCTACTCTTACTTTTACAACTTGTCAATCAATTAAGTTTTTAAAGTTACTGTGTAGACAAATAACATACAAAGTGGGCTGTTTTTCTAGCAATTTCACTGGCAGTTCTTTAGCAGAGAAAAGTACTCAAAAGTGTTTTTGCAATCTGGGATCTAAGATCAGTAAACCGTAGACTTAGAAACTTGAAAAATAGTTTACATGCAAATAAAACTGATGACAGGAAGTACAACCTAAGATTGGCTACTCATGGTGCTTTTGAGACCTTGGTCATGTACAACAACAACCAACATGGTTTTCTGCTAACATCACAGAGCAGAGTCCTTGAGAATCTGATAATCACTCAGATAGTCAAGAAATTCCCCACCTCTTATGGAACCTAGGTTAAAGTCAGGATGTTTACTTTCTTCTACCGCAGTTCCTGATTCTTATGATAATATAGAAACAAAATAATATATTGGAAAGTAAAATTGAACATACCAAAGATGAGAGTGTAGATACATCTTGATGTGTCTGGAAGCACTAACGTATCCGAACAGATGTGGTTCACTACTGATCGTGGTTGCTTGTAGGGAGGGTAAATATGTAAAAATGAATCTGGAAGTAAACATCACCAAAAAGTTGCATATCAGAAATTGTAATTAGGTTCACGAGGCGTTTCCACGCAGATGGCCAACATCGACATTATTCGCTACTTCTTTTATTACGTTGAAATCCACACTGACGACTAACGATGACTTCGTTTAATATCTAAAATCAGCAGACAGGTTGCCATGACAGTTGATGTAGGACGCTTATTGTAAATGGTATTTAAGGCAAACTTCATATCCTTCGTCGATTCCTATTAGAACTTACATTGTACATGAGACTCAGCATGTGAGTAATTTATATATTTCTTATTTTTAATTCAGTCTTTCGGTCTTCTTTTAAAAAAGGGTTCACAGCAATGCAAATGAACACGAAATAACGAGGCGTGCGTAAGAAATGAAAAATGAACCTTATAGCATGCAGGCCGAGATTGTTGCACGCGACCGTCGCAGGTATGCTTTACAAATTCCAATCTTTCGCGCAGCTGTTAGTATTTTATATGAGCACCTGCGTTTCATATTTACACATTCTTTGTAGTTAAAGAAATACAAATTGAATTACTCCAAGTTATAATTTGGTTAAATTCCATCATAAATGTAAAAAGTCAATGATTAATATTAAATATTTTCTGTGTAAAAGGAAATGAATTTAAAAGTAATGAAAAGAGGCTTGAAGTAAATTTTGAAAAGTTGCATATCAGAAATTGTAATTAGGTTCACGAGGCGTTTCCACGCAGATGGCCAACATCGACATTATTCGCTACTTCTTTTATTACGTTGAAATCCACACTGACGACTAACGATGACTTCGTTTAATATCTAAAATCAGCAGACAGGTTGCCATGACAGTTGATGTAGGACGCTTATTGTAAATGGTATTTAAGGCAAACTTCATATCCTTCGTCGATTCCTATTAGAACTTACATTGTACATGAGACTCAGCATGTGAGTAATTTATATATTTCTTATTTTTAATTCAGTCTTTCGGTCTTCTTTTAAAAAAGGGTTCACAGCAATGCAAATGAACACGAAATAACGAGGCGTGCGTAAGAAATGAAAAATGAACCTTATAGCATGCAGGCCGAGATTGTTGCACGCGACCGTCGCAGGTATGCTTTACAAATTCCAATCTTTCGCGCAGCTGTTAGTATTTTATATGAGCACCTGCGTTTCATGTTTACACATTCTTTGTAGTTAAAGAAATGCAAATTGAATTACTCCAAGTTATAATTTGGTTAAATTCCATCATAAATGTAAAAAGTCAATGATTAATATTAAATATTGTCTGTGTAAAAGGAAATTAATTTAAAAGTAATGAAAGGAGGCTTGAAGTAAATTGTGAAATTTAATTTTCCGTTGTTTAAAAATAACGTCGTATTTTATTATACTTGTTTAATTTTAAAGACGATTTTTGAGGGGCCCGCTCACTGATGAACCCATCGCACCTGGCCCAGACTAAATGTTTCCTTCCTTCGAATCCCGATTATTCATTTTCACCAATGAGAGAACAGTTCAATAGCTCCGAGTAGCATAGGAGCATTAAATCCATTGATAAATCCTCGTACATACGTAACTAATTTTATTATTTGGAAACACAAAACTAGCTTCATTTTGAATTACTGTTGACAAACACGGCTTATTTTTAATTCAGTCTTTCGGTCTTCTTTTAAAAAAGGGTTCACAGCAATGCAAATGAACACGAAATAACGAGGCGTGCGTAAGAAATGAAAAATGAACCTTATAGCATGCAGGCCGAGATTGTTGCACGCGACCGTCGCAGGCTGAATAAAGCACGTAGTTTGGCGGATAGAAATAAAAAGTGTATGAAAATGTGCCCCATTGATAAGTGCTTGTGCACACGAATGTTTTTAAAGCACTAGACTGACCGCCAACTCCCGATGATGAGGCCTGTAAGCTACCGGGTGTTTCCAAATTAAGCTGCTAATTCTGTGTGGTTATAGTACACCATGTTTTTTTATTTATTCATAGTTTATTTAACGACGCATTTTCAATAGCTCCGAGTAGCACAGGAGCATTAAATCCATTGATAAATCCTCGTACATACGTAACTAATTTTATTATTTGGAAACACAAAACTAGCTTCATTTTGAATTACTTCTGACAAACACGGCTGCCACCAGATGTCTCAAAAGTAAAGTGCCGTACAATTTGTA